AAAAGGATAAAGTTTAATATAAAATAAGAATAAAGAATAAAGTGGTGGTGGTGGTAGTTTTATAAAGTCAGTATCACGAATCAGGAAGAGTGTAAGAGCGGTACTAGCCGAGAAAACTACCCTTGGAAGAGAACGAAGCAAACCAAGTGGAAGAATATGCGGCTGGAAGAAAGACCGCCCGTCCAATATTTCAAGTTCCTCGACGATCCTCGGCATCCGCGATCTTCACAAGAAGACTGTGAGCGACCACTTGAAATATCTTGTCGCCAGTGGAGAAACTTTCAGACTCTGCTCGGGTTGCTCTGGTTGAAACGTGCTGACGTAACTATAAAGATACCCGGAGCCACTGACTACTACCACCACCCCCAAATAGAAAATCTCACTACATTCTACATTGATACATACCCTCTGATCTATCTAAACTATCCATCTTTTATTTTATATATATTATATAGTTTAACTACAAGCATCTACCGTCTAGTTTTGCGTTCTAATGTTCTGCCTTATCCGGTACCTCGTTCATCTCTATTTAATAACCATTTAAGATTTTATGGTTGCTTGCTCTTCTTATTTTTTTTTTTTTAAAAGGAGGAATTTATTGGAAAAAATTTATAAAAAATTATTATTATTATTACGAGCACTAGGTGACTTTTGTTAAATTGCACTGTACTTTCTTAAAAATTGACGTTTTTAAAGATATAAGCTCATCCCGATGTTACACTCATCAAGAGCTTTCATTTGAGTACCCACATGCATTTTTCATATATTTTTCATACATACATATATATAATATATATAAATATATAAAATATATGAAAAATTGATGTGGGAACTCAAATTAAAGGTCTTGATGAGTATAACATCGGGATGAGCTTATATCTTTAAAAATGTCAATATTTCACAAGATACAAGGTCATTTCTTAATTATATATCTAGAGATTATATCATACGTCTATCCTGGAAATAAAATGTTTCTTATTCTCTTAATAATATAGATTTTTGAATTAAGAAACTGGTAAAAAAATTTGTTCTCACACTACTGTTAGTGATAATATGAATTGTCTTTATAAGTCAGGGGACAAAAAGAAGAAGGGATAATTGTATTGAGAAAGATTTAGTAAATGGAAGTAGAAGGAATTAAATAATTGGAGTGATGCCACTGAGCTGAGAAATTTATGGGAGCTAGATGGTACACATCACTTGTTAATACATATTAAGTCAAGAGAACTAAGAATGAAAATAAACTTTTTAAATTCTCTAGTCAGCTATTTTTACACTCTCACCCTCTCTCTATAATGATAATATTAAGTTAGAGGGTTAATGTAATTTAGGTAATCGGCGCCAACTTTACTGCTACTGTTCTAGAGACGACAAAATTCTTCATAATTTACTTATTTTATCTAATAATACTTTCTACTTTATTTTATTGAGTTATATATGCCCTGGATATTTATTTCTACAAGCGAGAATAAACAGCGCCACTTTTTTAGCCTAGCGGTTATTTTTGGAACTAAAAAATTTTAAAAATTATTTTTAGCTACTTCAAAGTATCTACGACCTATTTCACAACAAAATTTATAAATGTGGAGCTTTTAATTGGTAATTTTAATAATTAATGTCCCAATTTTTGATAAAAAATTATTTTTTATATCATCAATAACAAAGATTAAAATTTTGACCAAGAAATATTAACATATACCCTGGAAATTTATTTCTGCGAGCGAGAAGGAACAGCGCCACTTTTTAGCCTAGCGGCAATTTTTAGAACTAAAATTTTTTTTTCCTTTTTTCAAGTTCTTTTTAACCTTGTGAGGTCAAATCTGATATTTTTTTTCAAATAAATAATTTAATTTAATAAAAATTAAGCTTGTGACCTAAAAAAAATTCGAATCGACGATTCTTTTATTTCCACGTTGAGTTACCGATAAAATATCTCAAGTGACTCTCTCTCAGCGTAGTTTCTGTCGTCTAGTTGCAGCAGACATCAGGCGCCAGCTCGAAATCAACGTTCGCGCGACGTAAAAAAAAAAAGTCACGGATAAAATTCAACCAGATAGAAAAAAAAATTTAATAAATTTTCCGGGTGTCAATTTTAAAATTAATTCCTATTGATATTGATAAAAAAGGACAGGAGGAAGTAATAATAATAATAATAATAATAATAATAATAATAATAATAATAATAATAATAATAATAATAATAATAATAATAATAATAATAATAATAATAAGTAAAGGCGAGTAGCCAAGATTTGGCTCATTGAAAGCATTTTAGCTTGTTGCTTGTTTCCTTCCCTTAAAGTTAGCTCTTAGACTCCAGTTGAGGATAAAAATATAGTTTAGTTAGGCGATTTGGTGTCCTGCTGATACTAAACAGTTGGCCAGTGCCAAACACTCCCCCTTCCAACCCACTATTGTACATCTGGCTGCTTTATATGCTGGATGTTGTTTCTTTGTTTCGTTTGTTTGTGTCCATGTAATCCTATTCAGCAACACAATAGCAGTGCAGCAACAAGTGTCTGCATGTTCCTAAGTAATATATATTATTTATATATATATATATATATATATATATATATATATATATATATATATATTATAGCCACGTGACATCACGTTACACGCCGGAAGTGCGTTATCAAAACTCTTAAATATTTGTTCCGAGATTTCGTCACGGTATCTATAATCAAGGCTTTTTTTTATTCTATGACTTACAAAGTGAATGTCGAGGTTTTTTTTTTTCAATGCCATAGGTGAGTTTAATCGTTGAAAATTAAAATAAAAATATTATGGATGATAAATATGATAATCATTGACGTAAAATGTTAGCGAGAGGTAAATATTTCGTTAATTGACGTCGGAAAATTAGTGGTGGGGGTTCAGTGAAGGATATATTGAAATTTGGAAGCAATTGGATAGGTAGATTGGGAGATAAATTAGGTGCATTGATTTTGAGGGTCAATGCAGTCTAAGACACTTATTATTAATTTAAAGACCTAATTAATTTGAATTCTAGCGTTAGATTTATGATTAAATAGTAGCTTAATTTTTATTAAATTAAATTATTTATTTAATAAAAAATATCAGATTCGACCTTACAAGGTTAAAAAGAACTCCAAAGAAAGGAACAAAAATTTAGTTGTAAAAATTGCCGCTAGGCTAAAAAGTGGCGCTGTTCCTTCTCGCTTGCAGAAATAAATTTCCAGGGTATATATTAATACAGGGTATGTATTCAATACAGTCTAAAAGCCTCATTATTAGTCTAAAGACCTAATTAATTTGAATTATAGCGTTAGATTAATGATTAATTTGGATATTATTGACTAAGATTAATTTTGGATTAATTTTGAGTGTCAATGCAGTCTAAGAAACTTATTTTTATTCTAAAGACCTAATTAATTAGAATTCTAACGTTAGATTAATGATTAATTTAGATATTATTGCCAGGAATTAATTTTGCATTAATTTTGAGTCTCAATGCAGTCTATATACTTTATTAATTGTAAAAATAGCATTAATTTTAATATTAACTCGATGTTGACAACTTAATAGCAAAATCCTGATAATTATTATTATTATTATTATTATTATCATTTAAGAATTAATAAAATAAGAAAATTAAAAAGTAAAGTCTATAAAATTGAATTTGGTTGATTTAACCGTACTAGTAAAACGTGAATTACGTTCACCAACTACCACCACATCTGATCCTCGCCGTGAATCTATTATAATAATTTAAAAAGAATTCAATTTTATAAATTTTCCCAACTCAATTTTCTTCATTTTCATTTTCATCATTCTACATTTTCTTCCATCACTTTTTTTTTTTATTAAATATTAAATAAATTATAATAATTAAATTAAAGTTAGAAAAAAAAAAGGAGAGATAATTTTCGATTATAAGATTGAAATTAAAGTTTATAAGAGTAAGAAGAAGGAAAATAATAAAAATAAATAGTTTGAGAGTTTTCGTATGTTGTAGGGGTAGTAAGAGTTAAAGCGTCAGCAATAGTACAACTATATATATATATATATATATATATATATATATATATATTTAAGAGAATATGTGTATATGAGGGTAGACATGTCTGGCGCCACAATGTACTACCTTAATGTTACAACCCGTAGGAGTAAAACTGGTAGTGTAACTTCACCCTTGCTCTTTCCTTTGCTCCCCGGTTGCACTACCACTTACCAACCTCTCGTCTATCTTATTTTTCTAAAGCGTCACAAGAATTATAAACTTCTCTGTTTAGTTCAACAACTTTATGCTTTTTATACTATCTACATCTACACAACTGACTTATACTCCTACAACATTATTTTTAATTTTATCCTTAAATCTAAGACTTCATTTTATCTAAATTAATAAAAGAATAAGAAAAATTTTGTCTCCAGAATACATAATTAAAAAATTACCTTGTATCTTGTGAACTATTGACATTTTTAAAGATATAAGCTCATCTTGATGTTACACTCATCGAGACCTTTCATTTGAGTAGCCACATCAATTTTTCATATATTTTATATATTTATATATATCATATATATGTATATATGAAAAATATATGAAAAATGCATGTGGGTACTCAAATGAAAGCTCATGATGAGCGTAATGTCAAGATGAGCTTATATCTTCAAAATATATATTATATATATGTATATATATGAAAAATATATGAAAATGCATGTGGGTACTCAAATGAAAGCTCTTGAGGAGTGCAACATCGGGATGAGCTTATATCTTTAAAACCGTCAATATTTAAGAAAGTACAGTCCAATTTATCGTTTAATAAAGTAAAATTATATATATATATAAAATTTAAAAAAGTGTAACTTACTTGAGTGTAATCCGTTTTAAGTATTTATCAGATGACCATAAAATATTGTCCATGTTGAGCGTTCGCATTGTAAGAAACATGGCTAGAGTTGATGTCGTAGATGATGATGGTAATGATTAAGGTGATGAAGATGATAATATACATTGACTGATACTGTTAGTGAACCCAAGAGGGTGTCGCCGTGGCCGCTGTGGGATTATTGGTGGTGACATAGCTGGTACCGCTCGCGGAGGTTACGGGTGCCGGCGAATTTACAGTATTGTTAGCACCCATCACGTTTCCTTGGATTATGTCGTCGTCGGTCACCGAATCCAAAGCTGGATCTATTACACCGTTTTGGAAATTAAAGTCCAGTGTACCGTCCATTGACAATTCGTGTTTGATTACCTGGAACAATTATTATTATTATTGATAATAATAATACAAAAAAAAAAAAATTTTTTATTAAAAAAAAAAAAACTAATAATAATAAATTTTTACCTCATCAACATTACAGTCAAATCCACCATGAAGACCCTCAATATTAATATTAAGATCATCTAATAAAGCACTATTATTTAAAGCCCCCATCAACTCTCCCATCATTGTACTAGCAGCATTTAAATCTAAATTATTACAGCAGGATAAATCAGATGACCCATCTAAAAAATTGACAGCTGCTGAAGGACTAGAGTTCACAGATACTGTTTGTTGATTTTGGTTTTGTAATCGCTGCTGGCACTGCATTAAATAAGGAAAAGATTGAGGCTGCTCTTTACGATCTTGCTTAGGTTCTTTCAATTGCTGCTGAGGTTGGGTTGGTGATTGTTGAGCGCACAATGATGGACGTGAGTCATTTTGGTGATACGTTGGTGACATACCCGATACAGGACTTGTGTTCTATTGAATAGTTAATCAATTTTAAAAAAAATTATTCCATTGATTTTAAGGTCAATGCAGAAAAAAATTATTATTATCTCGTTAAATATTGACATTTTTAAAGATATAAGCTCATCCTGATGTTATACTCATCAAGAGCTTTCATTTGAGTATCCACATCAATTTTTCATATATTTTATAAATTTATATATATATATATCATATATATGTATATATGAAAAATATACCAAAAATGTATGTGGGTATTCAAATGAAAGGTCTTGATGAAAGAGACATCATGATGAGTTTATCTTTAAAAATGTTATAAGTTGACAAAATATAATATAATTTCTAAATTATTGACATTTTTTAAGATATAAGCTCATCCTGACATTACACATATCGAGACCTTTCATTTGAGTACCTACATTAATTTTTCATATATTTTATATATTTATATATATCATATATATGTGTGTATGAAAAATATATCAAAAATGCATGTGGGTACTCAAATGAAATCTCTTGATGAGTATAACGTCAGGATGAGCTTATATTTTAAAAATATATATCATATATATATGTATATATGAAAAATATATAAAAAATGCATGTGGGTACTCAAATGAAAGCTCTTGATGAGTGTAACATCAGGATGAGCTTATATTTTCAAAAACATCAATATTTAAGAAAGTACAGTCCAATTTAACAAAAGTCGTTTAACAAACGAACAATGCAATTAATCCAATTAACAAAAACAGTGCATTGATTTTGAGTGATAAAACAGTAAAAAAAAATTAGAAAAACGGTTCACCCTAAAGGCCATCCCTGCAACTTCCCGCTCATTTTGTACTTAAACGCTTCAAACTACACATTACGTTTTTGAGCTCTTCGAGCTCAAAAATATTATTTTTGCGTCAATTTGAGCTCTTCGAGCTCAAAACTCTAATAGCAGTTTAAAGACACAATATTTTAAATTTTTAAACGGCAATAACTTTTGAATGAATGAACCAATTTT